GTACTTAAGGCTCTTGACACTTTAGACATGGAAAAGTTAACAGGACCAGATGGACTACACCCCAAAATCTTGAGACATATTGCACAATATATCGCGGCCCCACTGACTGTAATATTCAACATGTCTCTTGACAAAGGTGTGTTATTTATAAACTGGAAGGACGCAATCGTCACTCCTATACATAAAACAGGACCAAGACAACTTCCATCGAACTACAAACTTGTAAGCGTCACTAGTGTTGTAGTTAAAATATTGGAAAAATAATCAAACGGGCCATAATGACATTTGTGGAAACCACTAACTTGCTAAACATAGAACATAGTTATGGGAAGGGTTTATCTTGTACAACGAACCTCTTTTTAGCAAGAGAGTTTTGGATGAAGGCGCTAGACAACGGGAACTCAGTGGATGTTGTTTACATAGACTTCAGTAAGGCATTTGACAAGGTGCCAAGAAATAGACTGTTACTGAAGTTAAAAAATCTTGGAATTACCGGACCTCTTTTAAAATGGCTTACGGATTTCCTAGTAATTTGTGATCAGAAGGTAAGAATAGATTACAAGTGCTCCACCTGGAAAAAAGTAGTTAGTGGAGTGACTCAAGGTTCCATCCTAGGTCCTTTACTTTTTATACTGCATATAAATGATCTCCCAAGTACAGTACAGTCCCCCAGTGTCATTATACGCTGACGATGTAAAACTGGCGAGTAATAACCACAGACGCAGATGCACTTCAAGGAGACTTAAATAATGTGATTAACTGGTCTAAAAAGTGGCTGACGCCTATGTCCATATGCATTTTGAGGATACAAAGGTTAATAGGTACAGCATGGGGGAAGTGCCAGTACCAGTGGTCCCGTCTCGTAAGGATCTTAGGGTCACAGCGAGTCATGATCTTTAGATGTAGGCCCATCGCCAGGAGATCGCAGCTAAGGGGTTTAGAACCCTCTGAGCTTTTAAACGGACATTCACTAGGTTAGATACTACCATGTTCACCACAGTATACATAAACATGGTGAGGAATAAGCTTAAGAACTGCGTTCAGACTGCAATCCCTTGTTCAAAAAGTGACTCAGATATCCTTGAAAAAGTAAAGAAAGCAGCTACCCATGCAATTCCAGAACTCCGGAGTTTACCATACAAAGAGCGGTTGGAAAACCTGGTCCTCTTTACTCTGTCCTATTGAAGACTAAGGGGAGATCTAATTTTGATGTACAGAAAACTAAAAAAATGGTTTTGAACCTAACATATTCTCTCTTTTACTTCTCACTAGATCGGGACATCTCAGAGGACATAGCAGAAGAGTAGAAAAGCCAAGAACGAACAAAATACCCGTGGCATACAGGTTTTCACACCGAGTCGTCCATACTTGGAACCTGTTACGCGAAGCGGTGGTGTTCGCACCTTCAATTGACCCTCTCTACAGAAGACTGGATATTCACAGAAGCATACTGGAAAAGGACTAACATGTAGTGTGGTGCAGAGTAGCATTTGATTATGAACACCACTACAAGAAGACTACGTGCCAGTTAACCGATAAAATCCCCCGTAAGCCAAATTTCAGAAGGCAGTTGATGGCTGTAGTCGAGATATATCTGTTAGCGATCTCGTGGTATCGAAAGGATACCGAGATTGTGCCAAAGGAGCAAAGTGTGGTTACTGAGCGTAACCAAATCCGTGCAAGTCACAATCAATCGAAGGATAATAAGGCCGTCTTTAGCACAGTTAAACAATCATTGGTACAACTGGTTATAATAATGATTGTTTCCATTAAACCCATCGCGTTCTCTTGATAAAAGTAGGTAACTACAAACATAGGCCGTAGGCCTTCTGTTCATACTACACAAATCTGAACCTCATAGTTACAGGGTTTAAAGTCAATTTCTACAAGTGAATTTGTAGGTTGATTTCAGAAAACTATTTCATTTCGATTCGAATTGTTTTCACTGACAATACATGTTTTAACAATGAAAGTATTAACTTTCTACATGTACATTCACGTTTTAAAATGTTAGGAAATAAGAAATTATGGGTAACTCTTGATTGTATTGTCGATCCATGAAGCCTTTTTTAAAGTTTACACAAGTCGAATTCTCTAGAATAAAATGAGTACTTCATTTGCTGATTACCAAGGTGTCGGGAAAAATACAAAAGTTACCATTAGATTTTGATATATTGCATGTTTTATTACTGATATATATATCACGAACTGATCATAGCCAAACAGCTGTAGATCAAAATAGTAAATGATCTGTGTTTAATGATTGGGGGCCTACTCGAAACTCAGTAACTAAGTGAATAACACGGTGGTGTTTGAAGCGAACGGTAATAGGTTCGAGTCCAGGAGTGAGCATCAACACTGGGATACAGACACAACCAGCTGACGAGTCCTAAGTAGGGCAAAACGCGCGTCCTAAATTCTACTACTGCAAGTAAATGTCTAAATAATAAATAAAAGTCTCAAACGTTTTTGTAATGCATATGATCATTTATCAACAACCAGGATCTATACACTAACTTAATTCATTTTCTCTAAAATTTACGAAAGTTTCGTTAAGTATTTTTAGCTGTGGATCACCTTAACACATCTAAGCAAAATGTAGAAACATTTTATTGGCTTGTAGTATTTACAGTATAGTTTCAAGTGTCAAACGCTATTGATGATCGAATGCAGCATGGCCAGAGGGAGGTTGATCATGGTCTTGAGAGCTGATAGCACTTCTCTCCCTCTAAATGCAAGTTGTTGCTTCAGAACTGATCTGTGTCAACACCTGAACTAAGAATAGAGAGTGAAGTAGTCGAACGCGTTGACAACTTCACTTATCTTGGAGGTCTGATCAGCCCTAATGGGTTGGTATCGGACGAAATCTCAGTACGGATTCGAAAAGCTCGCTTGACTTTTGCCAACTTACCTCACCTATGGCGAAGGCGAGATATCCGTCTATCAATAAAAGGACGAGTATACTGCACGGCAGTCCGTTCTGTTCTACTTTGCGGCAGCGATACATGGCCATTAAGAGTAGAAGACATTCGTAAGCTACTAGTATTTGACCACAGATGCCTTAGAAATATTGCTGGCATCTGCTGGGATCACCGGGTAAGTAATAGTGAGGTTAGACGCAGGGTATTAGAGAGTGATAGTAAATCAGCTGATGAGGTTGTGAGTCTTCATCGACTGAGATGGTTGAGCCACGTGTTACGTATGCCCGAACACCGATTACTATGACGTGCAATGCTAAGCAGTGTTGGGGATGGTTTGAAGAAGGTTAGGGGCGGCCTCACTGGACGCAAAAAAGCCACAGTAAAAAGACCCATTAGAACTAAATTGAGTAGCGAGAAAACCAAAAGTAGGTTCCAGGAATAACTGAGGTCACACTTAGATAGTTCTGAAAACGAGGCTGACCCAGATGTTGCTTGGAGAGCTATACAAACAGCTGTGGAAACAGCAGTGATATCTATCAGTGATTTAAACCACAGGGTTACAAGGAACCAATGGATTTCCTCTAGGTCTATTGCACTGATGGATTCTCGTAAACTCATCCCATCAGGCTCTGAACACGATAAAGAGCGAAAACAAATCAGATCTAGGTTAGGCAAAAGTCTAAGGAACGACCGTGAGCAGTGGTGGGCAACGAAAGCAAAAGAGATGGAAAAGGCGGCGGTTATAGGGAACACAAGACAGCTCTACAGACTAATAAAAGAAACTGGAATTAATAAGTGTAAGTCAGACTATTTCGGAAAAAGACGACGCCCTCATCTGCTCTCAGTCCAGATGTTTAGAACGATGGGCGGAACATTTCAGAGAACAGTTCAGCTGGCCTCCAACTACTCTACAACTACCCTACATTCCCAGACAGTGTGAATGGAACATTGAAGTAGGTTCCCCAACTCTAGCAGAAGTTCGAAAGGCTATAGCTAATCTGAAACGAGGAAGGGCAGCTGGTTCAGATGGATTGGCTCCAGAGGTCTTTAAGGATGGTGGTCCAATTTTAGCGATTACGTTGACTAATATTTTAGCTAAGATCTGGGAGTTAGACGTTATTCCATCTGACTGGTCACAATCACTTATCGTCCCAATATATAAGAGAGGTTTAAAATCACATCCTGTGACAACCATAGTATCTAAAATACTAGCCTCAATAACTGTCGTACGCTTAACAAGGACTCGTGAACTGCAAACACGAGAGAACCAAGCTGGCTTCAGACCTGGTTGTGGCTGCATCGACCACATATTCACCATTCGTCAGGTTCTAGAACATAGGCATACTTACCGGCGTCCGACAGTGGTGGTTTTTCTTGACTTGAAAGCAGCATTTGACTCGGTAGACCGCGAGATTCTGTGGCAGTGTCCGTCATTGAAAGGCATACCTCAGAAGTACATAAACCCTGTGAAGGCTCTTTACTCGAACACTACTAGTCGAGTCAGAGCTTATGGCGAACTGTCATCTGCTTTTGCAACCTCAAGTGGTGTCCGTCAAGGCTGTCCACTTTCTCCATTTTTGTTTAACTTCATCATAGACTTATTGAAGGAAATAACATTCTCGTCTACTGAATTCTCGGGTATTGACCTCCTTCCAGGAGGTCCACTTATCGACTTAGAATACGCAGATGACATAGTCCTGTTTGGTGAAGACGCTGATAAAATGCAGAGTCTTCTGGTAGCACTAAGTAACAATGCCAGAATGTTTGGGATGCACTTCTCTCCCTCTAAATGCAAGTTGTTGCTTCAGAACTGATCTGTGTCAACACCTGAACTAAGGATAGAGAGTGAAGTAGTCGAACGCGTTGACAACTTCATTTATCTTGGAAGTCTGATCAGCCCTAATGGGTTGGTGTCTGACGAAATATCATATGAAATAAGTAACTTGAATCTTATTGATTTGTTAAAAAAAAGGAATAAAAAATGATTGATGACTGCATATCAGTACTATTAATAAATACTGTTAAACGATGTTATAATGACTGATAATAATAATAATAAGTATAAAAATATTTTTAATATTAAGCACACTGATAAATCATGATAGATCTATCATCTCCTACAGATATAATATTATTTCCTTGAGGACTATAACGAGCGCACCATACCTAAAACAAAATTAAATAAGAATAAAATACGATACAATTCAATAACCAAAAAAGAAAATTCTACAAATTGTTTAAAATCAAAAAGAAAAAGATCATGATTTTTGATAACCAATTTTATATTGTTTACTGATTTGTATCATGATATATACTGAAATCCCTAGATTAATATTTTTGTTCTTCTAACATATGAAGATGATATTGATATTTACAACATAAGACTTGAAAAAAACTACCAACGTGATGAATATGATTGGAAGCTATTTGAAGGTAGTAGATAGATAAAACTAATGAAGTGTAAGTAAAACATTTGATTTTTTCCAAGAACAAACTCATTTAACCAATCGAAATGAATGAAGTACATACAGAATAGTGAATATTTCTGAATTGATAAATTGTTGAAATAGACAAATATTTACTTGTAAATGCAGTATAATAGTAAATTAACTTAATTGAATTAAATGTTTTATTTAATGGTGAATAGGCTTCAAAATCAATGAGTGTATTCTTGACTTGTAAATTAATAGATTAAAAATCTTAGTGGTTTAAAAACATTAGAATATGAAGAAGAATAGTAATAAGTATTCAACGTCAATCAGTTCTGATTAACGTACACCTTGGCAAACATGTGCATTGTGTTAAGTTGCCACACCGAATTAGTACGACAAACTACCAAACAAACCGAAATAATCTGGCAGTAATCATCTTGAGAAAAATTAAAGATTGAGAATATGGTTTGAGAAAAAAAACCTTGAAAAGCTATGCATGCAAAAACACTGGAACTCAGGATCGAGAGGAGGGTAAAGAGTTAATCCATCTGTGGCCATGTGTCCGATTATGAGCCATATCACTCAATGTCTCCAATAACTCAATGCGATTATTGCATGTACACTTTGTTGATGAGCGTCAACTAGTATGAAACCTAGGACCATGGTTACCTACTAACTAATTTCAATCATATACAATCAAAACATACTGCATGCGATGTTAAGTTATTTAGGCCCGTGACCACATTAAAGATGATCGTTACAATTTGATCAGTACTAAAAACGAAACAAACATGACGCTGGTCACCACTTAATGATCATTTAATGTGAATATACGTGGTGTATACATTTGACAATTTGATTAGTTATTATGATTCTATTGGATATAACCATATATATATTGCTTCTTTGGTTGTACGAATTTCGGTTTGCCTTAATGGATTACATCAAATAGAATCCATGTTTATTTTACGTTAGTCTGAACGTATAAGTACAGCTGATTTATAAGCCTTAATCGAATTTAGTAGCAATACAATGAAAAGCCAAATAAAATGGACTTACCTGATCTTCATGTGTATTAAAACAATGTTTTTCTTCTTTTGATGCCAAATCCCAGATTCGAACAGAACAATCAGTGGATGCTGTGACAAGATGTCGATTATCTGAAGCGAAATCTACTGATACAACCCATCCTTTATGACCATTTAAACTAGGGATAACTAGTCGACCATCGCGTCTAAAATAATTAATAGATGACAGGGATTTTGTGTAAAAGATCGAGATACAATTCTTAATTTAAATTGACTACACTCTTATACAGACTACATTGTGTGCATAATTAAATAAAAAATAACATGTATTTTGTTTGAATATGCAAGAATATAAACCTTTTACGAATAATGGTTATAACAGGAATAAGTCTGGTAATGACATCACAGAGACTAAAGACATGGACAGCAATAGTTGGAATTTGGAAAACGTAACTATTCCATTCGCAATCGACAAAATCCAATTTACTGATAGACATAAAGACAATATAAACATTTTGAAGTGCCATTTCTCAGGGCGACTCGCGACGTATGCATAACATTGTGGATACTATTAACTACGAAACGTAAACATTAAATATAATGTATGAACAACTAGGTCAAGGACTAAAAAGTTTAAACTACCGATTTAGACTTGAGTAACTGTGTAACACACCATTAGCTTGCACTAATTAAGTATAGTGTATAAATATCCTCTATATTGTTATTTGTCAATTCTTGTCAACACAATGAGGCTAGTATACTACTATATTTCTGAAATGATATATACAAATATATCTATATGACTGAATCATAATGAGAAAACCAACAATTCTGGGGAGATAAACATGAACAATACGGAAATAGATTAATAAATAACGAACAATAGCGAGTGATAATATTTTAAAGATTTGTAAAATATAAAGAATGGATGTGTGAATCATTGTGATTGACTATAGATCATATAGAAAACTCTAATTAGGAAGCTTGGATCTTCAAATACGACTTAGATCAACATTGGATAATTTTATGGATCGATGGTATGTTTATGTTTGGTCAACTGTAGATCATTTTTCATTTTAATTCCGATGCAGTTAGAATATAATGTGACGGATAACTTAATTCTCCTAATGAAAACAAGTTAATAGTCTCACTGACTGATTCAACCCAACTACATACAGTTTATATCTAACCACAATACTGATTATTTGATCATTCTAAGAAAAATGACTGCTGATTTTAATTATTCAACCTTAACAATTATGTTTTATAACACATCGTACTCGTTTATTGGTAAGGAACCAAAAATATAAATGGTGCCACAGACCGCCTAGATTAAAAACTCAAACAATCTATATAAAAATATCTGTGACTAGCTAGTTCCCGACCGTTGTTGCTACCTTGACGTGAAGGTCGAGCTTGCCTATCGTGATGAAGCAACCGAGCTATATTGGCTGGAACAACCGTTCCCCAAGGTCCTACCATGTCAGACAGGTCGGTTGAAGAGCGGTAAGACTAAAAGCAACAAACCCAAGGTCCGAAGGCGAAGTCGTACTGCTGACTGTACAGAGGTGTGACAACAGTAAGGTGTTTCCTTCAGACAACCAGCATGACAGCGATGCTGCCCTCCCACAAGGAGGGGTGGGGTTAGAAAAGGTCGACCCTAAAAATGCACACCTCGCCTTATCTCACGGATATCCATCTCCGGCTGTAAGGTCTCAACAAGTACGGAGCTAACACAAAAATTACTCATAAAAATGTCGTGTGTGACCGACCTAAAGCAGTTGTTCCTTGGGCACTGCGGCCACGCTCTCAGGTCACTAAGACCACCTCTAATCCAATTTCCTTTTCAGGTACCTCCAGAACAACCCTTCTACGGTGTGGGGAACCGGGAAGTGATAACCGCCCTCATACTTCTAACAGCACTCAAGACCACTGTATTCATAATCAACTTCCCTCTTCAATTCCTATTATTCCTCCCACATCGACTTTCACCTCTAAACTTCCTCCTTCGGCTTACCCCTCAAGTGTCACCATAGCTGACGATTCTAGTGCTAAAAACTCTGTCCCAGGTCTACTGAAACCTCGCTCCAAACTACACATTGGAGCCTTCAATGTACGCACCCTATGTCAAATAAGTCAACAGGCTTCCTTGGCTAGAACCCTAGAATCTCGTACCATTGATGTATGTTGTGTCTCTGAAACACGCATACAGGATCCCAATGTGGTCATTCACTTGACCTCACCTCGGCAAAACGGAGAGCCAGCGAGATACTCTCCGTGTATCTGGTGACCCGACGGTCAGCCCTAGTGGACTGGCAGGAATAGGGATAGCACTAAGCATGAGGGCGGAACAAGCACTGTTGGAATTGATCCCCGTTAACAGTCGTCTATGTGCTGTTCGGTTAAACGGCTCCGTAAGAACTCGGAAGGATAGGGACACACGTCGTTGCCTTTTTGTCGTTTCCGCCTACGCTCCAACCGACTGCAGCTCAGATGATGTGAAAGATGAATTTTACAGAAAGTTATCTGAACTTCTTCAGAAAGCTAAACGTTCAGACATAGTACTCGTAGCAGGTGATTTTAATGCCCAGATAGGTAGTTTAAATCAAACAGAAAGGCATTTACGCGGGTATTTTAGTATTCCGGCACAACGAACAGATAATGGTGATCGTCTGCTGCAACTGTGCTCAGACAATCGTTTATTTTTAGGAAACACAAATTTTAAGTTTTTGATTGAGATCATGAACCGATTGATGTTAGACCATCACAATTTTAAGCATAAGGAGAGACATCGTCTAACATGGCGACCCCCTACACCAAACCAACGATGGACTCAAATAGACCATATTGCCATCAGTCATCGTTGGAGAGGGTCGGTAGAAGATTGTCGCTCATCCTGGAGTACCTTCTTGGACTCCGACCACGCCCTAATACGGGCACGCATCTGCTTGCGCCTCACTGGACGCAAAAAGCCACAGTAAAAAGACCCATTAGAACTAAATTGAGTAGCGAGAAAACCAAAAGTAGGTTCCAGGAATAACTGAGGTCACACTTAGATAGTTCTGAAAACGAGGCTGACCCAGATGTTGCTTGGAGAGCTATACAAACAGCTGTGGAAACAGCAGTGATATCTATCAGTGATTTAAACCACAGGGTTACAAGGAACCAATGGATTTCCTCTAGGTCTATTGCACTGATGGATTCTCGTAAACTCATCCCATCAGGCTCTGAACACGATAAAGAGCGAAAACAAATCAGATCTAGGTTAGGCAAAAGTCTAAGGAACGACCTTGAGCAGTGGTGGGCAACGAAAGCAAAAGAGATGGGAAAGGTGGCGGCTATAGGGAACTTCTAGTCTGAGCCATGTTGGTAGATGCAGACTACTTGGTTGGGGTCCGCGTGACTATCGTAACCAATGGTTGGAGGCTCTTGGTGACATGGCTCAGAATCGATCACAATGGCGTCGGTGTATACACTCTCTGTTTTCCCTTAAACTATGAGACTAAAATTACTTTATATCTTCCTATCTACGCACTAAATCTTTCTTCCTGTACTATATCCTTATTGCAATCTTTCTTTTATATATTACCACCTCTGAATTAACTACTTTTATGAATCCGGTGTCCATCTTGTTGTGTTAATGAGGTATGGCAACTTGGACTGATGCACATATGTGCCTGGTCCTACGTTGTAGCTGACTGACTGATTAGCTAGTTAGTGCTTCTGCAGAGATTTGAACAATTAAAACAGGCTATATTCTTCACGATTTTGCTTCTATTCACAAAAATGTCAGTGAAGATCAGTTATGGAGAGTACCCATATATTTGCGAGAATCATACTAGAAATTTGTTGACTTTTATCTAAAGCAAATAGATTATGCATTTTATTAGCGTGTGTACCCCATAGAACTTCCCTGCATCAAAACCATAGGTCCATCAAAAGGTTTGAACGCAAGAGGTAAATGCAAAATCGTATTAATTACGTAATCGTATCAATGAAATAAGTAAATAACAGAAGCAATAGACATCCCTGAGAGATAACACATGTAGTTCTTTTTAGGACTATTAGACATTTAGTCCTCCTTTAAAAAGCTAAACATATGGCGTCACTTTAGAGTGAAGGGAGTAGACAAGTTCAGGGGTTTGATATGCATGACTCAGTCAGTCGGACAGCGCACAAACGACTGTCTACTGGGATCCAGTCTAAGAGAGCATATTCCGCCCTAGGACTCAATGCTATACCTACGCCGGATAGGCCACGGGAAGCAGAATCAGGGCTTCCAGATACACGAAGTGTGAATCGAGTTGGTTCTTTATTTTAACATGGTGAGGTCAAATGAATGACGCTACTCGGATCCTATATGCGCGTTTTGGAGACACAGCACACATCGATGGCGCATGATTCTTAAGTCCTAGCTACGGACATTGAGTTGCTGCATTTAGTCTTACCGTTCTCCAATCGACCTACCTGGCATGGTAGAACCTACAGGAACATATGTTCCAGCCAATATAGCTCGGTTGGGTCATCACGATAGGCAAGCCCAACCACCGCGTCAAGGCAGCAGCTACGGTCGGGCTAATTATTAATCAAAATGGGTATACGAATCAATATATAAATGAGTGTATTTTTGACTAGAGTCGTCGTCGTCGTTGCGTTCTGGGGTTAATAATGGCGACCGTCTGTTGCAGCTATGCTCAGATAACCGCCTGTTTCTTGCAAATACTAACTTTAAGCATAAGCAAAAACATCTTTTACCATGGCGACCCCCTAATTCGTCCCAACGTTGGACCCAAATAGATCACATCGCTATCAGCCAGCGATGAAGGGGCTCGATAGAAGACTGTCGCTCATTTTGGAGCACATGCTTAGATTCAGATCATGCTCTAGTGCGAGGGCGTACTTGTCTGCGTCTTACTGGACGTAGGAAACACGCTGCAAGGAAACATCTTAGGGCCCTACTTAATGATAGTCAAGCTCAGAATATATTTCAGGAACAACTAGAAAAACAGTTAGACAGCCATGTATATGATGCCCACCCCGATGCAGCATGGAATGATATCCGAAAAGCTGTGGAAACAGCAGTGATATCAGCTAGTACGATAAACCACAAGGTTAGGGAGAAACACTGGGTCTCAGAACCATCTACCGCACTGATAGATGCTCGAAAACTCATTCCATCTGGATCTGAAAATAACGAAGAGCGGAG